CAGACTTTCAGCTGATGGATCTTTTGCAAGCAATTTAAACACAGAGAAAATTTGCGAGGAAGGAGCATTGTAAACAGAATGGCCTGCGACGTCACAAAATAACCATGCACACGATCTACTGGTAGGAACTACAAATTTTCTTCTAGTACTGTTGTTCTGGCACAAGTGGGAGCTAGGCGCGTACATTGCCGTAGCATGATAAGTTTTTTCCAGCCTCTGGCACAAGTAAGCACTCGGTAAGGGCCGTAAGCTTCTCATAGAATGGAATAACGTCCAACGGCGATATGTTCCACACTGCCCATCGATTTTAGCGCACGTAATGAGAGTTTCCCTTATCCGAAAATTCACATAGTTGTGTTGTCGCACCCTTAACCACCTTTCTTAAGCCCAGAATCTCAGCGATGTGTGCCTGGAAAATAAGAAGCTTGTTATTAAAACGATTATCAAACACTTCAAAGCCGGCGGCCTAATTAGCGTTTGACATTTCCATTGAAGAGACACCCGTAACTGTCTAATGGTTGACTCAAATTTTGGCTGAAAATCCTCTTCAATGTTGGCATGATTCATATTCAGCATTCTATCATAAGTTGTTTTAAAGTTTGACTGCAATCCAGTTGCCATGCTTGTGCAATCATGCAGCTCGTAGTTATCAGCATCGCGAAGTCATTTGGGACCCAGTTTAGAGGATAATTTATTGAGGCGAGCACTTAAATTCTTTGTTTTTATTTAAAAAACAGCAGTCTGGTTTCCAACCGCCAGGCCATAGCCACTTGTACTTGCACTTTCATCAAACATTATAAGTGTAGCGCACAACAAGGTTTACACAGCCAAACTGCAACACAATAGTTACAGAGCACAACGATTAACGGTGGTTTTGCTGCATCGATCATGCATAATAAACAACTGTATGCAGTTGCAGGCAAAAAGCCCTGCACATTAGTTGAGGGGCGTAGCACTTTGCAAAAAAGTTAATTTCAAGTCCAATTGTATTTAACCACGCAGGGCATTTATTAGCGCTTATAACTATTATTTGGCAGCCAAATCGAATTAGTTGTGCCTAAATGGAGATCAACGAACAATGATATAAAAAGAGAATGAAGTGCAACTAACCGATCACCGAACGAATGCAAAGTGCTGAGAGCTAGGGAAAGAGGAGTTCAGCCTAGTGCAATGTGCGTGCCAACATTATTAGCTCTTAGGCTGTAAATGTGATTATGTTATGCTGCTGTTGGCTGCTGCGCACAGAGAGAAAGCTACCAGCGTTGACTGTGTTGGTTACCTGACCAAACATCTTTATTAAATTCGCCAAACCCAAATTGGTTTGTATAAGGGTTAAAGTTCATCCAGTTCAGCGTAATAGGTTAATTCTATATTTCGGAGACGGTAAATCTGTCGCTGAATGTGATACAAAAGCCTTCGGTGTCATCGAATGTGATTCATCGCTCGTGCTCTACACCTGATGTCCCCAACTGCCGCGCAATGCAACATTTAACCGGGTAATTTGGACACGGTTACTGTGGTCGACGAAGGAATGATTATTATCAATGACGCAACCATCTATAGTAATATTGATACAAATATAGGACTCAGTCTATCTAATATCCAAGAACCGAGCTTGTAAGCATTAGTAACTTACAAGCTAAGTTACTAACGAGAACAATGCTGATCTACTGCACCACCTTTGTCCTGACCTCCTAGTTTAAAATGATTCGAAAACAAACCCATAAAATCGATTCAAATTTATATCAAAACCAATTTTTTTAAATCTATGTATCGCAGCTATTACAGTACAGCTATTTTGGCATTAAGGCTCTCGTACAGGTGCACACTGATTATACAAGATTATTTTCAGGCCGGTCTAGTGTAAAATTTATGGTACTGCTTTAGTGGAAGAGGATGTTATTTGGTTCATAGATTTCGAGTTGACGGTGGTACGGTGGTACAAGGTGCCAAAATACCGACGTACATTATTCTCCGGAGAATCTAGGTACGCTTATAAAAGTCACCCATCCTGAGATCGGTTAAGAATTCAGAGGTCCGGCGCTGTATTATTTTTAATCATTTGCATTACTCATAGAGTGGGGCGTAGCGGCAAGTGTGTCTGTGTTTTTTTTTAATTGAATTTTTCTTAAATTTTTGTAGCATTTCTTACCTTTCGAAATAACGTCGATGCGAAATTGTTGCATTTTAGCTCGTTATGTTTGGTACCTGGGTACCTAAGCATGGGCAAGTGTCCATCGAAACTTTTTGGGCCGGCCATGCAAGCACACTTACATAAGTTTGAATATGGAAGCAATTATTATTGTGCGCTTGTGTGCCTCTTGATTGCCTGCCTATCCGATGCAAGTTTTACAAGATTGTACATTTTTGACTTTTTTTGAGGCAAAAGAAAATTTTATTTTTGCGATTTTGACGTGAGCCATTTTTTGTATACTTCAAATATATGTAAGTATTTATGTTATAAGGAACTTCACAAACTGTTGGTGTTAGAAGTGATCTTTTGTGTGATCAAGTCAGCCGGCTGTCTTATAGCCTGATTCTATTATAATATCAATATTTCCTTCATTTTTGCCATATTTCAAACTGTTATGAACGTGAAGTATATTACCTACATGTTCTGCCATAAAAAACAACATGCAGTATTTCAAAAATTGTTCTGACAAAACGAAAAATGCATATTTTCTAGATTAAGATGTTAATTAAAATGTTTTTATTTTTACATATTTTGTATCGATTTATTATCTTAGAACTAGTTTAAAAAAATATTTATCGAGATTCATTGCTTCAGACCATTTTAAAAAATTAACAAGTCGGGAGCTCCGACTATTGGATACCCTAAACCCTCTTATATCAACACCAAAAGCAGATAACGCTACGCGTTACTTCTATAGCAGTAAAAAAAATATAAAAAAAGTAGTTACATCGATAGGACTCGAACCCGTAACATACTGCACTACACGCAACCGCCTCTACTCAACAGCCATACCAATAACTGTCGGGTAACGAGAAAAAACGTATTAAAATAGCAGCACAGAAAGCAATACAATCGCAGTTGCAATGCTATTGATAGAATTCAATAAGTGCGCTGATGTGTTTGTGGTAGCTGCCGCTGCCAATATAATAATAATTTTAATAATTTCTGTTTTTTTAACCGATCTTGATGAAATTTTCAACAGTAGATCTTATTGTATTATAGAATATTTGTATATTCTCAATACAGCCACCTGCATTCAAAGTGTGGCCTTAATTGGCGGGCAATACAAATTGGTTTATTTACTTGATTTATAGCTATGTGGTGTTAGCGGGGAGGTGGCAATAGCTATATTATGAAAGTTACTTGATATATATTATATATATATATATATATACATATAATATTCTAGAAGCTACATGTCAATTTTGGTGACTCCAGCTCTTATAACGTACTAGATTTGCTCAAAAAACATGATTTCGATATCGCTTTTTATTACTTGGAAACGAAACAAATTATTGATTATTGGAAAAAAACTTGCACCACTAACCATTCAATGCATAGACATGTCAAACAGCAGAATAATATTATCACGATAAATCGTCAACGAGGGGACGCAAAGGGTGCCTGCGACCATTTTAGTGTGCCCATATAGAGTAAGACTGCTGAGAGTGGCAGCCGAGCCCCGGCCTAAAAAGCCGAAATTTCAGTATGAAGCCGCGTCTCGCTCAACGCACAATGTCGCTGCGGCTAATGCCATTCTTTATATATGTATGTTAGTTTTTCAACCCTTACAGACCAAAAACATATGAGTGTATGCATGTGCAGAGTTTGCCTCGCTCCCACTCATAGCTTTGCGCGCTTGTGTGCATCTCTTTCTCCCTGTATAGCTTGTCAAAAAACCCCGAGATCTACAAACATACATATGTTTGCGTTGTGTGGATGTGCGCACAAGTAGATCACGGCCCTAGTTTTTTTTTTGTCATGCTTGCGGTGGGCTAGCGGCCGCGTAAGGCACAAATGTGTGAACAGTCAATGAAAACAGGTGAACCGCCTTGTCGCTCGTTTACTCTATCTGGGCACACTAAAATGGCCGCAGGCACCCTTGGGGTTCCCTCGTTGACAATTTATCGGGATACGATTATTCTGCTGTTTGACATGTCTATGCATTGTATGGTTAGTGCTTGTTCTGCGTGGACTGCACTACAAGGACCTACGTTCAAAATTTCAAGTCTCTAGCTCTTATAAGTTCTGAGATCCTTGCGTTCATACATACGGACGGACGGACGAGCGGACAGACAAGCGGACAGACAGGCGGACATGGCTATATCGACTCGGCTCTTGATGCTTATCAAGAATATATCTTCTTTAGTGGGTCGGAGATGCTTCCTTCTGCCTCTCACATACATTTTCACAAATACATTATACCCTCCTTACCCATTTTTTATGTGTTCAGGGTATAAAAATTAAAATTTATCAAAAATTATTTTTGCAATTAGGAAATATAATATAAATATCGGACACCATATATCAGGTTAGCAGCCTAAAGTGTGTTGAAGCAGCAACCGACATGCCTGCGTTCATATATGACTTTATACATGTACATAATTATATAGAAGGAAGCTACTTATAATGCCTTTTTGATAAACTTTGAAGATGATAAACACGAATATAGCGAAAAGCGTATAAGTTATTTTTCTTTTGTCACGTACATAATAGAAATACGCACCATAATGGAAACTGACTTTTAGTCAGGTCTTGTCATTTACAAATCTTTAACTTGTTCGTGACTCCACATATTACATGATCAGCGTCAAGAATCTTTCTAGTAATATTTTTGATGACCGTGTCACCTGGAAGATATTCACAAATACATGCAAATACACATGTTATCCATTTTGAAATGTAACGTTTTGGATATCTCACCGGATCCCACCAAAGTTTAAAAAAAAAACTAACTAAGGAAAGTATACCCTTTACTATTTGTATGCATGGACATATATGGACTCTCGAGACATAGTTTGCTTACCTTTAATCCATCGAAAATGAGTCAAATAGGGTTTAATGGTATTTAGTAACATACATACATGTATGTTACAGGGTCATATGCTCGATTAGCATCAAAATTCATTCACTAGCCGGCCCCTCGGACTTAAAGGTAGACAGTTATTGTTCTAAGTTGTTAATATTGATTCTGCACAAAAAAACTTGTCACGCACTTATGCATATATGTATGTACATATGTCCGTATACATGTATAAATACGTATATATGTATGAATATTTTTGTATTTAATGTACATATATATGATTTACTAATGTACATACAATATTGTATATATTAGGAAAAATAGATATTCCTTATCCTTTATATACATTTACATTATATCGGTATTTGGGATCAATCCGTCTACTCTGTGTGGATCGCACATATTTATACGTAGATAAATATGTATTATATACATACGCCAGATATTCCTAAGAATTTGGTGTTAAATTTAATAATTTGAAGTCTTCGAAACTTAATTTTATTTTAATTTGTAAAGTTTGTACTTATACTTATGAACGTACAAATTAAAAAAAAAATCCGTACCGTATTTATTTTTGCTAAATTGAGAGGCAACTGAATTCCTATCAGTAATATGTATATGTATTGGAATGGACATCAAAATGAGCTTAGTTCCTGATTAGAAAATCAACGTGTCATAAGGTCACATACTAGATTTGGTTTATTTATTAACCCGTGTGGGCCTATAATTTGCCTTGCCAAATAAAATGCATTATCACACACCTTTTATACTTGTTTCGTTATTTATTTAAATTCCAAATTCGATGAATCGAAAACTAAATTATATCAGTATCAAATTATTATAAAAATAAAAAAGTCAGAAGCAGGAATGTCCTAATGTAGAGTTATTCTTGAACAGGATTACGAGCTGCGTTGATCTAGCCGAGTGGGTGGATCTCGAAAACTATAAAAGCTAGATATAAAATTGTGTGTCTTGACTGACTGACTGGTTGCTGATCAACGTACAAATGAAATTTTCACTTCACGTCAGCTTATGTACCGCCATTTTACCCGCAAATATGAAAGTGTACGAGGAGTGTTTTATACTATGCCAAAAATCGATTCCATCTTGGTATAAGTGGGGGTAGAATATTTGGTGGGTGCAGTTTCTAGGTCAAATTCATGATATCTGCAGACAGACTTGAAACTTATTTTCAAAGATATACGTGAAAATTCATCTAATACGTATTTTTTTTCTGCAGTAAGCTCATTTAATAAGATACTTAGGAAAATTTATTTAAGACGTGGTTCATAGTTTTCGGTGATTTCCATCCGCCTAGACAGTGCGGTAATTATTCCCTGAACCCATTAAAAATGGGTAAAAAGAGTATAATGTATTTGAGCAAATGTATGTAAAAGGCAGAAGGAACTATCTCCGACCCCATAATGTATATATATTCTTGATTATCATCAATAGCCTAGTCGGTCTAGCTATGTCCGTCAAAACCTATAAGACGTACAGAAATATTTATTTTTGAACGGTAGACCCTCCTAGTGCCCTCGCAACACGAGTTTGCTTCTGATAATCGATAACTTGTCCCGTTTCCAAGTTGTCGATATTGAAATCGTGTTTTTATGAGCAAATCTCTTACGTTTTAAGAGCCAGAGTCACCAAACTTGACATATAGCTTCTAGAATAGTAAATACATATGTATATATCAACTTTCTTTCATTTTATAACTATCGACACCTCCCCGCTACCACCTCATAGCTATAAATCAAGTAAATAACCCAATTTGTATAGCCCACTAATTTAAGCCAGAATTTCAATGTTTTTGATGTCATCAATATTGGTTAAGAAACACAAAAGTTATTAAAGAAAATGTGTTTTGGCTGCCACGTGGTTGAGGCCGCTATTTCTGTAGTCTTATAGAAGAAACTATTTTTTTTTATACTCTGAACCCATTGAAAATGGGTAAAGAGGGTACAATGTATTTGTTCAAATGTATGTGGCAGGCAGAAGGATGCTTCTCCGACCCCACAAAGTATATATATTCTTGATCGAAATCAACAGCCGAGTCGATCTACCCATGTCCGTCTGTGCGTTCGTCCGTCTGTCCGCATGTATGAACGCAAGGATCTCAGAACCTATAAGAGTTAGAGACTTGAAATTTTAGCTGTAGGTCCTCCTATTCCATGCGCAGTATGAGTTTGTTTCCGATAATTGATAACTTACTCAGTTTCCAAGCAATCGATAAAGCCAATAAGAGCTAAGGTCACCAAACTTGATGTGTTGCTTCTAGTATAATATATATGTATATATCAGTATCTTTCATTTTATGCATATCGGCACCTCTACGCTACCACCACAAAGCTATAATTCAAGTTAACAACCCAACTTGTATTGCCCACCAATACAAACCACAATTTAAATGCAGTTGTCATTTTAAGAATACACATAATGTTTTATAGTATAATAAAATCTACTGCTGGAAATTTCATCAAGGTCGGTTAAGAAATACAAATGAAAATGTATTTTGGCTGCCTACGTGTTTGCGGCAGCAAGCCCAAATTCCAAGAATTTTTGTAACCCTTGCCTGTGTCGCAAGAGCAGCGTTATCGCTTATGCTTAGTCGGCTTGCCGACTGCTGTTGCAAAAGCTACAGGTAATTATTTTATGCACCAGCTGCTGTGGCTTTTAGTTCTTAAGATTCAGTTCTGTTCACACTTTCAACAAGCGCACTTAAATATATATAATATATATATATTAAATATATACTCCGGCATTGCCGTATTTTACATCATATTGTTTTATTGCTGCGCCATAAGGCCAGCATTTGGAAAACTTCAAACTACAAACTTAGATTCCAGCACTCTGTAATTGGAATAACCTGGAGGACCATGTCATCGGAGACTCAGCCACTGCCTTCGAATTCCTTCAGTCTCACCAGCGACGACGACACCTAAGAAAAGTGACGACGCACGCAGGCAATTGCATAATTTGTACACCCACATATTCATGCGCTTCTGCTTTGAAGTCGGGAATTCCTAGAACCTCTTACTTGTTTTAAATTAATTTCTACTACTGTTAAAGCAAACGAGCACGTGGCGCGACCTCTTACTTGTTGCACCTCCAACAGTGGAAATTAGGCGCAACACTGGCATCTTTTTTAATTTTATCCGACCAGTTTCAAACTTATTTTCAAAAATCATTATGAATATTTATTTGATATGTGTTTAACATTCTTCTTAAAAGACATCCCTCATAGATAAAAAAAATACGGGTAAAAGGTTAAATGAACGAAAGTTTAATTTTAGACGTCCAGTTTCAATCCACGGGACTAAAATTTACGGAAAACGTAGATTACAATTTCCGGAAAACCTTTTTGTTTACCATCCAATCCTCCTTGGTGGAAATGGGGGTCAAAGATTTGGATGGGTGACGTTTCGTGTTCAAATTTATTTCCAAAGATCTGTACGAAAAATCATTTGAAATGGGTTCACTTTTTTGGGCTCAGTTTTGAGTTTTGTTCGATTTGCATCAAAGTTGCATAAGAAATTAATAAATACGTGTTTCAGTGATTGTAAAATTCCACCCACAACAGTGGTTAATTAACGAAAAACGGTTGTATGAAATATTATTGCTAACCATCTGATCGGGTTCAAAAACATTTTCAGAGATTTTTGTTCAAATTCATTTGAGGGGTGTCTCATAATTTTCGAAAATCCATCCCTCCTTGGTTGAAATGAGGGTGAAAGACTTGGTGGGTGACGTTCCGCTCTGAAATTCATTTCCAAAGATCTAAATAAAAAATCATTTGAGACGTGCTTCAGACTTTTCGCGGAATCAAACTTCTTCGGTAGAAATGCGATTCAAAGATTTTTTGGGAAAAGTTTTAAGTTTTGTCCGATTTGCTTCAAACTTATTTTCAAAGCTGTACATAAGAACATCATGAATACGTGTTCATCGGCAGCAATGGTCAATTGGCGGAAAACGATTGTATGAAAGTTTTTTGTTTACCATCCGATCGGCTTCAAACTCATTTTCAAATTAGCACGGGCAAGGCTAGTATATATATATATGTACTACATAGTACATACATATAAAAGAAATCTAAATCTTATACTTAGTATTATTTATTGCAGAAAAAGAAAACAAATGCGCAATAAGGTTTGGCCTTCTATTTCAACTCTCCGGTCTCTGCCTTTAGTCTGGGGGTGAAGAAGGGCTTCACGGAACGGATTCAATGGTTAAACGTCGCCATTGTCTCGCTCACTGCTGATTCTTAGGTTAGTCCTTCTGGTTCAGCTCCTAGGTAAAAGAAGCCGGGGATCGGCCAAAGTGCTCTACTGGACCGGATCCTTCTTTTGTTGGATCGCTGCCGACCACTCTGGTTCGAGAGCGTCGTGCACCCACCTGGCGTCTTCAACTTGGATCCCTTTGGTGCTGGAACCATTGAACTATTGTTTTAATTTGTTCGGTTATTAATTGTATATTTTTCGTCGATTGTAATGACTTTATATTTGTTAATTTTTGTTAGACGATCCCCATTGATATTTTTATCATCCGGAATGATTTTATATATGTATAATATATAGGTTTAGGTTTGTTATTTTTAGAATCATTATGCCGGAATTTTTTAAGACCGTCTTCGACCGCAAATCAGACTTTCTGTTGCTATGGGCAGCAACGAAGTAGATGCTCAAATCTGCATAAGCATACATTCATATTTTTGTGTGTTGGTGTTCATAGGAACAGCTGCTTATCTTGGTCAACGACCGTGGAAGGTCAAGGGCTTCCCAAAGGACACGGACTTCGCTCATTTATACCACCCACAGATTCCTAAGGACGGGAAGGTACTGCCGGAAGCACTGGAATGATTAAGCACTGGGCTCTTCGCTTGATCTCCTCCTGCCTGCGTCCAATTTGGCCAGCCTGTCACTTCATTGAACTGAGACGTGCCCAACATGAGGCACCCCACGACCTTCTTCTACGCACGTGTATCCTGTGCGTGGTATACTCTTATGGGTTTCCCTTGCAAGTCTTCCATCCCTGGCCCTTGCGAATTTCCTCGCAAATTTTGCGTTAAAGGCATTCCCGAAATCACTCAGTGCGAAGTTGCTTCGGCAGACTTAATGGTATGGTTTCGCGTGCTGATGACTGCGTTCGTAGACATCTAATTGCCCTTAGACTCCCTGCCGAGTGATATTTATGT